CCCACAGTTTGGGCCCTCATTTTACCCACCTCGGAAGAATGGAAGGCTGAGTCAACCTTGAGCCAGTGAGATTTGAACCGCTGACCTGCTGATCTAGCAGTAGCCTGCAGTGCTGCATTTAACTACTGCGCCACCTTGGTTCAAGAGGTCCTGCCTCATTAGTCTCTCATGCGGATGGACACAGAGCAATAACATGATCTTTGACTCCGCAGCCAAGTTCCAAGATCTAGGATTGAGAGACCGAAGGTCCGTGGGGCAGCCCAAGTGATTTAGATAGAAAAGGGATCCCTCCTGCTCTCAAGAAGTCACAATGTTAGTCTCTTTACTAACGTAGCAGAGGTGGATTCCTATTGGTTCAGACTGGTTCAGCCGATAGTAGATAGTAAGAGCCGAGGTGGCGCAGTGGTTAGAGTGCAGTACTGCAGGCCACTTCATCTAACTGCTAACTGCAGTTCGGCGGTTCAAATCTCACCGGCTCAAGGTTGACTCAGCCTTCCATTCTTCCGAGGTGGGTAAAATGAGGGCCCAAACTGTTGGGGGCAATATGCTGACTCTCTGTAAACCGCTTAGAGAGGGCTGAAAGCCCTATGAAGCGGTATATAAGTCTACTGCTATTGCTGCTATTTCCTACCTCCAGAAGTTGGTTGGATTGGAAATTGAAACTTAATTCCAGGTGATATCCACCATCGCACCCCAGGCAACTGGCTGGTTTAGGGAGCCATAAGGTAGGCCAGATGGCACGGGTCAATCTGCCTTCTGTTGTATGTCCTTAGACCCTTCGGTCACAGGCAGCTTGACCTTCCTTAATAGCAGGAAGGTCCTGTCTCTGGTGTCCACGGAAATGTTGCCTTTGGGGGAAAAAAGAAAGCCTTTCATTCATGAAGCTTTTGACAAACTGACTTTTGCATTCAAAAGTAGAGTCTGGAGCTTACGGCATGCTGTATCCAGATCTGTTGACTGTAGGTTATACACCATCTGGTGTCCTCCAGATATATCACACTACCCTTCCAGTATTTTGGCATCTGATTTTGCAGCAGATCTCTAAAAAGTCAGATTTTATAGAGAAATGAAAGGTTCTGGAAGAAACTTCCAATACTGAGTCTGAAGTCCTGGAAATTGGGATCGCTTCGAACCGTGATGGAGAACCTATGGCACGCATGCCCGAAGGGGCTGGCAGAGCCATGTCACCTGGCATGTGCGGCGTCACCCGTTCCTCTTCCGGGTTTCTGCCGTGCATGCACAGGCAACAATCAACTGGCCTTTTATACGTGTGGTAGTGCCGGGAACCGAAAGAGCTGGTCTTCTGTTTTCTGGCGTGAGAATGCACGCCAGACAGCTGATCGGCGTGTGTGTTTGTGCGGCAGTAACTGGAAGACTTGTTGGCTGGCGTGCATGCACGCACTGGAAACCAGGTTCATTTTCCGGCACATGCATGTCCCCTGGGCAGCTCCTCTTCCTTGTTGCGACCTAGAAGAGCGCATACAAAGTGCTCTGTTTTCGGCACTCGATGCGGAAAATGTTCGTCATCACTGACTTAGAGGGATGCAGCACATACAATGGACAGTGAGGTCCCATATCCCTGTGCTCTAGTCTAGCACCATAAAGGCCCAATTTGGCCGAAGAAGTATTCAATGTAGTTTGCTAATAATTGAAAATCACCTACATTCTGAAAAGATTTCTCTTTCCAGTTTAAAAAAAACAAAAAAACTATTCATGGGCTATATCTGAATACTGCACTCTGAATAGGAAAGATTGCTTAGCAATTGCAGATCATTTTGCTTATGTAATTATGGCACTTGATATCCAATCATCTCCATACTCTTCCTTAAAATCATCCTTTTGCATTCAGAGGTAGACCAATACAGGTAGTCCTCAACTTATTGCCACAGTTGTGCCCACAATTTCTGTGGCTAAGCAAAACAATTGTTGTGAATTGTCCCCCCCCTTGACGAATTTCTTGCGTTAGTTGTTAAGTGAATCACTGCAGTTGTTAAGTTAGTAATAGGGTTGTTAAGTGAATCTCGTTTCCCCATTGATTTTGCTTATTAGAAGGTCACAAACGATGATCACCTTGGGTCATCATAAATGAATCAATTGCCAATTGTTTGAATTATGATTACATGGGGAATACAACAAAGGTGGTAACTGTGAAAAATGGTCATAAGTCCTTTTTTTTCCGTGCCATTGTATCTTTGGACAATCACTAAATGAACTGTTGTAAAGTTGAGAACTGCCTGTATTGGAAATGTGAGTGCCCAATAGAAGGCATGATTTCAGGGGTGGGATCCTACCGGTTTAACAAACACTTGGCTGAGTGCATGCTTCACGCACTGTTTGCATGTGTGCAGTTTAGAGAAGATTTATCTTCCGAATTACTGCCTGGGGTGGAAAACAACTGAGGCGCATCAATCCACTATGCTGTGCGACTCAGATGAGAAGATAAAGGTAGGTAAAGCATAGGGGTGGGGGGATGGGACCATTTGCTACTGGATGAAACCCGGTTTGCCCCCAGCTGATCTTCGGAGCTACTGGTTTGCCTGAACCAGTCCGAAGTGGTAGAATCCCATCCCTGCATCAGAGGTGGGCTCCAGTGGTGGGTTTCAGAATTTTTTAGAACCTCTTCTGTAGGTGTGGCCTGCTTTGTGGGAGTGGCTTGCTGGCCATGTGACCGGGTGGGAGTGGTTTGCTGGCCATGTGACTGGGTGGGGGTGGCCAACTTGTAAAATGTGGTGAAACTCACTTAACAACGCTCTTGTTTAGCAACCAAAATGTTGGCTCAGAAACTCTGGCATTTGAAGCACACAAGTCTTAAACCTGTCAAGTTACAAGACCCTTGTGCACCTAACCCTTTAGGAAAAAAAATCCAGGGGTGTTCAAACTTGACAGCTTTAAGACTTGTGGACTTCAACTCCCAGAATTCCTCCTCTCGTTCTAGACAGCACTGTAGATTTGTGGAACCTCTTCTATAGAAGACGTTAGAACTACCGGTTTGGACCAGTTCAGCCGAGTAGGTAGTAACTCGCCCAGCCACGCCCCTGATCCCATTCTATTGGCAGCGTCATAGGCGCCGCCATCTTGTTTTTTGCTTCTGCACATGTGCCGAAGCATTTTTTAACCTACTGCATATGTGCACACAGCACGAATCAAGCGCACGCACGCGACGAAGAAGCCAAAACCCACCCCTGTCCTGCATGATGTTTTGGATCTTTCTCCTACACCAGTCTTGAGTCTTTCCTTCTGGCCCTCACATCTTCTGCTCTGCTTCTTGTAGCATCTTGAACAAGAGAAACATGAACTCCGGAGGCACCTCGAATCAGGCCGGGCGGAATTTGAAACCCGGACGGCAGAGCTGGAGGCTGACTTGGTGGCCACCCGAGCCCAGCTAGGGCAGAAGCGTCTAGAACAGCAGGACACCAGCCGAGAGAGCTCACAGGCAGTTTTGGACCTTTCAGAACAGAACCAACGTCTGGTGGAGCAACTAAGTCAGGTGAGGAAGGACTCTGACGGGGTTACCTCTATCTCATTGGGAAGGGAAGGCCCAAGAGGGAGGCCTTCTGGTGTATATCAACAAAATGCAGAGTGGTTAGGTCAATCAACAGAGAAAGCTCTCCTACGGGCAAGGAAGGTAAAGGTTTCCCTCACACATTTGTGTTAGTTGTTCCCAAAGCTAGGGGGTGGTGCTCATCTCCGTTTCAAAGCCAAAGAGCCAGCACTGTCTGAAGTCGTCTCCATGGTCATGTGGCTGGCATGACTAAACGCTGAAAGGTGGTCCCTAATTTTCTGTTCGCATTTTTGCATGCTTTCGAACTGCTAGGTTGGCAAAAGCTGGGATAAATAATGGGAGCTCACTCCATTACACGGCACTAGGGACTCAAACCGCCGAAGTGCCGACCTTTCTAATCAACAAACTCAGCATCTTGGCCACTGCATCCCTATGGGCAAGGAAGCACCAGGCTAATTTTATTCATGCAACAGATCAGTCAAATGTTGTTTTCTGCTGCCAGGTCTTTGGCAATGAAGGTAAAGGAGCAAAACATCAAATTTATGAGTGCAATCTAGTAGGTTTGGTTCTCAATGTTCTTGTTAAGAGGAAGCTTGGCTTGTAGGCTAAAGGCCTGTACTGTAATATATTTTAGCACACTGTCATATCCAGCAGTTGACAATATATAAAACTCAGGGTTGAGCTGACAAATTCTTGATGTTCTCTGGACTTGGTTGTTTTCCTTGAAGACGTTAATTACCCTGCTAGGAAACAGGAAAACAAGCAAGAGCTCAACCCTGGATATGAGTGAACTGGAATAGAGGCTAGGATTATTTTCAGGTGAATCACTCATGTTAAAAAGGGGTGTACTGAATACCCTGAAGGGGATTCTAAGTTTCAGAAGCAAGAAAGAGATTGTTGAATGAGGCACCATCTTTTAAAATATCTCACACCTTGTTTGATCTGCTGGTTGCAGAAATACACTAGAGAAGGAGGATTCAAAACACTGAAATTTCAAAAGTGTGTATCCATCAAGCTACTGCCGATTGACAGATGATGGAAGCAGTTAGCTTCCTCCCATAAATGGGGCTTACCAGGGGTTGTGACTATATGTATGTATGTATGTATGTATGTATGTATGTATGTATGTAAAAAATTTTACATATATACATACACACACACACACACACACACACACACACACACACACGTGTGTGTGTGTATGTTCCAGCATAACTCTGGAATGCTTCGAGCAATTTCAACCAGACCTGGTACACAGATGACTTACTCTCTGGAAACAAATACTGTCAGGGTAAGACAGCTCTAAAACCCCTTGGGGTATGTGTTCTGTTAAGATACAGCCTGTTGTGTCTTAAAATGGCTTCTACTGTACTGCCGTAAAATGACTTCTACTGTGCAGCGCAGTGGAGTTGCCATGATAATGGCTTCACAGTTCTCCACAAGGAGGCTCCCTCTGGTAAGGGGGAAAAATCCAACATTAGAAATTACTTTTGGTCCAGACAATTTCCCCCTATAAATAAATACCCGGGCAATACAGAGTTGTCAGCTAGTCTTAAAATAAATCAGAGTGGTTAGTCTTGCTGAGTTCACAGACCTTCACTGAATCCCATCCCTCTTTAAAAGACTAAATTCATCAGTATCCCTGACTAGAGTTTTGTGGATAGTGGCAGGGAGCGAGAACGAAGGGAATTTTCCCTAACCAGGTGCTTTCTGTTGAATTACAATTTCCATCATCCCTGTCTATGCCACCCATGGAAAACCTACCAAACCTCTATCTCTCATCTCAAGCATCAGAGCTCATGGTGTGAATGATGGAAGTTGTAGTTCACCAATATTTGGGGGTGGGGGGGAACCTAAGTTCCCCACAGGTGAGGTGGGTGATGCTAAACTGGTTTGAAATGGGGATTTCCTTTTTCAATGCAAATAAAAATTCATTCTCACTACAATAACAGTGGATGGAATGTGCCATGCCAGAATGAAAAAACAACTTTGAGTCACGTTGTGTTCTTCCTATAACAGCACCAACCAGATTAGCAGGATTCTAGCAATGTAGGAATCTAATCACAAGTTAAGATAAGAAAGTCAAACAAGTGAGATAAAGATTCTAAAATACCCCCCCGTCCTTAAAAATTAAATGAAGAGATACCATAGATTTAAAAAAAAAACATTTAAAAGTTAAAGTCACTGTCCTGATTCTTTTGGGGCCTTTGCATTTGTAAAATTTATTAATGGGATGTAAAAGTGTGGATTTGTTTTATAAACTGGACAATTACACTGTTTGGAGACAACGCAGCCAAAGAATGATTGAAACCAAGCAACACTCCCTCTCTCCCTTACTAATATGAGGTATCCTTATTGGTGTCCAATATTGCTAACAAACTATGTAAAAAATTGTTGGATTAAAATATATGTGTGCAAATGTTTATTTTCCTTTTAACATTCAAGCCTACTGTCTGTTCTTATCTCTGGGAAATTAAGGCAATGTAAACCATGCGTATCTTGGAGATATTGTTAAGGAGCCCTTAGGTCACAGGTCAAAACATGTCTATTGGCTCAAGAGACCATAATACAATTTTTTTCAAGAAACAACATCCAGTTGAAAGCTTGTAATTCAATTACAGATGTTCATGTCCCAAATCATTGTTAATGAAAGCCATTTTTTATATATGCTGACAGGACGTTTTTCCCTTAGATATTTAGAAAGTAGACATCTCACACAGTTCCGGCATGAACCTGAGTATTTGGTTGCACAGGTAGTGCTCATCTTACGAACAGTCACTTAGCAACTTAGCAACCATTCAAAAAGTTACAATTGATGCACAGGTGGTCCTCAACTTACAACTACAACTGAGCCCAAATTTTCTGTTGCTAAGTGAGACAATTGTTAAGTGAATTCCCCTCACAAATTTTATGACCTTTCTTGCCACATTTGTTAAGTGAATTCCTGCAGTTGTTACGTTTGTAACACGGTTGTTAAGTGAATCTATCCACCCTATGGACTCTGTCAGAAGGTCGCAGAAGCGGATCATGTGACCCTGCGACACTGCAACCATCATAAATATGACTTTTCAGATGTCTGAATTTTGATCACGTGACCGGGGGGGGGGGATGATGCAATGTGAAAAGTGTGTGTAAGTCTGAAAAACAGGTCACTTTTTTCAATGCTGCTGTAACTTTGAACAGTCACTGAACGAACTGTTGTAAGTTGAGGACTATTTGTACCTGGGAGTTATTTTCAACCCAGATTCGAAGATCTGACAGCCACCCCTCCCCCACCCCCAAAATCAAACGACTGAACTTCAGGGACCGAACCCCATTGGCTCAACCAATTGTGTTTTTACGATGATTTTGCCAAAATCCAGCAATTACTTCCACTTTTTGGCAAAACTGCGCCCATCACGAGCCATTGGTTTGCTTAATGAGCATGGCAGCTGCTTTATGATCTCTGCATTAGCTAAACAACCACCACAGGAAAATTAGTAAAATTGGGTTGGCCACATGATTGACCTATTTTGCGACCGTCACGACGTACAAATTTGATGGACAGGGCCTATTACAGTCGTCAGATGAGGACTGCTCGTCATTTTGCACAATCCAGAGTCAAGAATAGCCTGGGGAAAAAGGGGGTTTAAAGAGACTCTCCCTATTGTCAGAGCCTAACCAACAGCTGTCTGCTCCACCACCTACAATAGGTCACTCACTTGGAGCAGCAACTCCAGGAAGATTTGATTGTATTACGTGCAGAACATCGGACTTTGACCCTCTGCAATGCTGAGTACGGTGCCAGGATGCAAAGTCTGCAAGCTGAGGTAAGGAAAAAGACGGTCGATTAATGTCCCCCGTCGGGCCACAGATGCCAGGCAGGTGAGAAGGCTGTAACCCTTTCTTCTCCACCATTCCAGGGGTCTTGTTGCTTAATTTGAAAACGGTCGATTTACAGCAAATTGGTAATTGATGACTCGGAGCCGTGATGGAGAACCTATGGCACGCGTGTCACTGGTGGCACGCGGACCCCTCTCCGTGGGCACGTGCGCTGTCGCCAGCTGCTCTTGTGGTTTCCGGCGGGCACATGCACAGCTGGTCTTCGTGGGCGCCTGAGCACCGGAAAACAGCCTGGAAACGCCCCCCCCCCCCCCCAAAAACAACCAAAAAACAGGCCTTTTTTCAGGCCAAAACCAAAAAACGACCTGAAAATGACCAGAAAAACGGCCTGAAAACAGGCATGCATGTGCCTGCTAGCTGGTCTTCAGATTTTCGTTGCTACGGCGTGTGTGAAGACCGGCTGGCCAGAGTTCATGAGTGGCGCATGTATGCACACTGGCCAGCTGGTCTTTGAGTTTTCGGCACTGCGGCGCACACACATGCACACACATTCCAGTTTGGGCACTGGTTGCTGAAAAGGTTCACCATCACTGACTCAGAGCTACTGTACTAAATCTGGGCTAAAAAAATACTGATGACCACCAGTTGGCAGCACAGGCTTGGTGTCTTCTTCTGCCATTTTGCCTCCATCTAGAGCAGTGTTCGTCAACCTTGGCGACTTTAAGTCCTGTGGACTTCAACTCCCAGAATCCTCTGGCTGGCTGGGGAATTCTGGGAGTTGAAGTCCACAGGACTTAAAGTCGCCAAGGTTGAGGAACACTGATCTAGAGGTCACCTGACAGTGTCGTGCAGTGAGCTTTATGGCTGGTGAGACAAAGCCCTGGTGCGACTTTCCAAAAGCCCCAGTGAAGCTCCGCCGCTGTGTCCGCCATACAGGCAGGATGCGTCCCGCTCTATAGCGGACACAGTGCTGGGGCTTCGGCGGGGCTTTTGGAAAGGGCAGCACTACGAACGTAGTCCTGTGGGTCACTTCTGGGCTTTTCACAACGGATGATTTTGAGAGGGCGGTTTCCATCGAGGGTGATTCTGGAGTGGTTGCTCTGGGCCGCCAGCCACCGTTTCTTCAGCAGCAATTTCTTCTCTGCCCCGGCATTTTCTACTGGGCGGCTTGGTGCCTTTGCTGCAGACCCGGGTCTTGGAGGCTCCCGCGAGGCAAAGTGCCCCACCGGGTACTTTGCATCGCGGGAGCTGCCAAGCGCTTGATGCCCTCCCCTCCCCCTGGTGTCATAGTAGGAATTACTCAAAAAGTGAAGTCTACTCATATGGAAGAAGCCTAAAAGGCCATTAACTTGGTTTAAACAAGATTCCAATAATTAAAAATCAAATTGCCCCCCTGTAGGGTGTAGGCCCCACGTTGGGAACCACTGGCTTAGAGAGTGCTATATGAAGCGGTATATAAATCTAAGCGCTCTTGCTATTTGTTCTTCAATTGGTGCAATCTCCTACTATAATGAACTATCTATTGGCCAAACTGAATTGGCAACCACACTTTAGTGATAGCTGTTTTATCTAATGTCTTTTTTTAAAAAATGTAACAAAGATAGGTATGCATAGGTATGGGATTCAAATAATTTAACAACTGGTTCTCTGCCATAATGACCAGCTGGGAAGGTGGGACTTGGTAGTCATGTGACTGAGTGGGCGTGGCCAACTCAAGGTCACTCAGGTTGATGGGCGCTTCGCCTTAGCTGTCACAATGCAATAAGGGTTAATCGGAGAGGCAGTTTCTGTAAGCAGGGCAAAAAAGATGAGGCTAGAAACAACACCAAAATGTTTCCTTCCTGCCTTCCTTACAGGATTAGCCCTGTAAAGTGGGAAAAAAACAAAATGAGATTTCTTCCAACAACCGCTTAGAAAGTTAACAACCGGTTCTCCCGAATAGGTGTGGCCTGGCTGAATCCCACCACTGGTATGCAGTGTTTTTCCAGATTTTCTGCGTTTGGAAGAAAAATATTCTACTTGTCCCAAACCAAAACTGGATATGAGGCATTGGACTGACTGAGCAGGGAACGGTGATATGGAGGTGACCTGCCTTTCTTCTTCTTATGCTCAATTCTGATATCTTCCTTTGCAGAATCGCCTGCTTCAAGAGCGGAAGCAAGATATGGAGAAACAGAACCGTCAGCTCCGCGAGGAGAACGAAGCCATCCAGGCACTGGTGGACACGTTACACGAAAACCTCCTCTTTCTCCGGAGAGAGAGCCGTGAAAAGCAGCTGAAGGTGTGTTGATGTTTCTACTTTCACATCAGCCTGATTATTGCAGGGGAACAATTGCTAGTCTCGAAACTGAAGGGGCGAAACAGAAGGAGACGTGAAACTACTGCTGGGAAAATGAGTCATCCATGGGCAGTTATGCAAAGAATTAGGGAGAAGGATTCTATGAAAGCGGTTTTATTTCTTTTCCCCGGAAGCTATTTTCAGCCTCTCTTCTTCCCGTTTCTCTTCCCGTCCAAAGTTTAAACAGGTAGAAGTGGAAGCTGAGGAACTCCGGACTGCCAATAGGCGCCTCCAGCATCAGGTCAAGGATCTGAAAGAAGAGATCCGTCTGCATGAGTTAGATACCTCTGTTACCTCCATCCAGTCCGAGATTGAAAGCAGCTTAGGCGATGCCCCAGGAGCTCCTGGACAGACACCAAAGGTAAAACAGAAGATGCAGCTGGGAGGATAGCTCGGGTTCCTCTTTTTAGTTCAACCAGGGAAATCTTCAATGTCAAAAGAAGGTTGTAATTATTTGTATGCTAATTTGAGGGAGTGCAAAGCATCACACATATCTGATTCATTACCAACCCTTCCCAAATGTCCATGGAGATTCTCAGTCATCCAGGTCACGGCTGTCCTGAAGCTGCTTTTTCAAAAGGCAACTGGGTTTTCTTTGCCTTTCGTTGAAGACATTTTCATTTTTTTCATTTTATTATATTTATATGCCGCCCTTTTCCCCTGAAGCTTCTCATCAAAGAAGCTTCTTCAGTTCTGACTGAATGGAGAATTCTCCACCATTCAGTCAGAACTGGAGAAACTTCTTGGATGAGAAGTGAAACATCTTCAAGGAAAAATAAAATCTAGTTGCCTTTTGAAAAAGCAGCTTTGGGGCAAACTTTCCCAAACTTTGGGGATGCAGACAATCCAACATACACCAAATCTTCGACATAGAACTACAGGAATTTCTCGACTTCCAACCACAATTGAACCCCAACATTTATGTTGCTAACTAAGACATTTGTTAAGTGAGTATTGTCCCATTTTACGACTTTTCTTGCCACATTTGTTAAGTGAATCACTGCAGTTGTTATTAGAGTAACACAGTTGCTAAATGAATCTTGCTTCTCAGAAGATTACAAAATGTGATTATATGTCCTCGGGACACTGCAACCCCTCATAAATATGACCCAGCTGCCAAGCAGCTGAATTTTGATTACATGCCCATGGAGATGCTGCAATGGTCATCAGTATGGAAAATGGTCATAAGTCACTATTTTTCAGGGCTGTTGTAACCTCCCACCTCCCCACCCCAGTAACAGCTGATCACACGAGCCATTTAATGGGCTCCATCCCACTATGGGTTCCCCAGGCCTGCTGGCAGAACCAGGTCTTCAGCGCCTTCCAGAAGAGTATTAGAGTGGGGGGGCTTTTCTAATCTTTGGGGCAATTATGTTCCATAGAGAGGGAGCCACCATGGGGAAGGCCCTTCTTCTGGGTCCCACCAGGTGTATATCTATTGTGGCTCATCAGTGGCCAGCGGAGCTGGCAGCAGATTCAGACAATGAGGAAGTTGGGTCAGTCCTGGAGTCTGGGGAAGGCTCTGAGGAGGGCTGTGTGTCAGAGGCAGAGAGGGGGCCAGAGCCGTATGCCAGTTATCAGCTGCCTTCAGAGTCAGACATCAGTGAGGCAGACAAACAGCGGGAGCCTGTTCCCAGTGTGTGCATGTGCAGAGTTGCCAGACGAAGGGAACAGCTAAAGAACAGGGGTTGACTTGGGAGTAAGGCCACAGGTGGACGATGAATGGCCCCTCCTGGAGGGAATAAAAGAGGAGCAAAAGGGGAGTGGAGTTTGCAGGAGACAATTAGTTTGTTTAATTGGTTCGTTATTCTCCGAGGCTCCTTGCCAAGGTTTGCAGAGATCGGCCTGGCAGCTCTCCAAGCCAGAGAAGATCTGTGACTAAATCCTCCCTTGAAAGACTTTGCTGAATGTGAATGAGCAGAATTCACAGTAAATTAATAAAAGGGGTTTTTGTTGGGCCTGTCAGAACAGTATCTCCCTCGGGGATGGGACCCGCAACATTCTCTGCCTCCCCGCTCTAATTGGTCGGGTAGATGTGACCGGCAAGAGATAGTCCCTCAGATAAGCTGCTTTAATCTAATTTAGTCTTATCTGCTTTAGTCAATCACCCATGGCGTCAACAAGACTGATTCCACTCCAAAGAAGGCCTCTCCGAGTCCGGAGGAGAACATCTCTGAATACACCAAAAAGGTTTCAGCCTTGAACTATCAGCAGCAAGATATCCTGGCCCAGAAAGAAATGGAGATTAGAAAACTCCAGGATCAGGTAACCTGTGCTGTAATTCTTCTCTCTTACGGGAGGGCAACGTCTCGTGTGGCTTGGAAATCGCACGTTGCTTGATGTTCTTCTCCATTCCCAGGTGACTTTGCAACACGTGGAGCTCAGTGGTTTGAAGTCCGAGATAGAGAACCAGCGGCGGTTGTACCAAGAAAGCAATCGGGACAAGGCCTTGAAGTTAGCCGTAGCAGACCGGGATGAGGCGATAATCAAGTGAGCTCTGAGTCTATTTGCTTTGCAAACCCCATCATCCTTTGACTTAACCGCCATTCATTTAGCCAACATTCCAAGTGGCAAAGGAGTACTGAAAAAACGTGACTTATGACTGGTCCTAATAGTACTTATGATCGTTGCAGCGTCCCCACAGTCATGTGATCAAATTTGGGTGGTTGGCAACCAGCATGAATTTAGAACGGTTGCCTGTCCCAGGGCCATGTGATCAGCATTTGCAACCTTACAACCTTCTCTCTGACAAGAGAAGTCAACGGGGGAAGCCAGATGTGCTTAGCATCCATATGGTTCACTTAACAACCAGGGTGATTCACTTACTGGCTGTGCCAAAAAAGTAAAACCGGGTATGACTTGCATAACAATCGCCTAGCTTAGCAACGGAAGTCCCAGTCCCAATTGTCTTAAATTAAGGACTATCTATAATCCATCTGCTCCTGATATTATAATTGCTGCTGGTTTAGTTGCATGTCAAAGCAGCTGGACCAACCTGTCTATCTCGGGGAGGCAAGTTTCAAAGTCTGAGTCCGCCATTTGCAAAGCCACCCCATTTGGAGTTATCAGATGGGGGGGAAACTGAGTTAGACCCAGCCATTTGAGTTCACTGGCACAGCAGATTAAACGAGACCTCCAACTTCCAAGGCAGTTTACCATCGGCCAGTGATGGCAAAACTTTTCGGCACCGAGTGCCCAAACTAGGAAGTGCATGTATGGGCGCACGGAAACCTGAAGCCTAGCTGGCTGGTGCACATTACCAGCCAGCTGGTCAAGTTCCCAGCATGCGCATGCACGCTGGCCAGGTGGTCCTTCGGGCACACTGAAGCACCAGAAACCCGAAGACCAGCTGGCTGGCACACACATGCCTGATTTGGCCATTTTCTGGAGCGTTTTGGGGGCATTTTCCAGTGTTCCAGCGCTTGAGAAGAACAGTGTGCTACGTGCCATCTCTGGCATGAATGCCATAGGTTCGCCATCATGGGCATAGGCTAATGTCTAGTTTATGTCTAGTTTGATGAAAAGAAGGACTAGGGGAGACATGATAGAAGTGTTCCAATATCTCAGGGGTTGCCACACAGAAGAGGGAGTCAAACTATTCTCCAAGGCACCTGAGAGTAGAACAAGAAGCAATGGGTGGAAACTAATCAAGGAGAGAAGCAACTTAGAACCGAGGAGAAATTTCCTGACAGTTAGAACAATTAATCAGTGGAACAGAAATTGCCTCCAGAAGTTGTGAATGCCCCAACACTGGAAGTCTTTAAGAAGATGTTGGATAACCATTTGTCTGAAACAGTATAGGGTTTCCTGCCTAGGCAGGGGGTTGGGCTAGAAGACCTCCAAGGTCCCTTCCAACTCTGCTATTGCATTGTATTGTATTGTATCATATTGCATTGCATTGCATTGCATTGCATTGCATTATAATGTTCCTTAACTGTGGTAGCTTTAAGATTTCTAGACTTCAACACCCAGAGTTCCCTAGCCAGGCAGGCTGACTGAGGAATTCTGGGAATTGAAGTCCACATATCTTAAATCTGCCAAGGCTGAGAACCATAGCAAGAACTATTATGAGGCAGAGATACTCTTCTCCATCCCAGGCTTCCTGACCATGTGAGAAAAAAAGCTTTGCTGCAGATGCAACAAAAAATAATGGTAATCATAATCTACCGCTGCACTGATGATGTTACATAGTTTGGGTAAAGAAACATCTGCAAGAAATTAATCAAGCTCAGAAAGCACCAAGGACTTCTCATTTCAACCCTAAGCTACAAATATTCTCATGTATTGCTAGCGTTGCATTTTATGACAGCGAGCGACCTTATTTGTGATGATGTTGCATTATTGTGAGTGTTTAAAGGATGGAAATGAGAGGAAATCTTTAGGCCTCAGCCTTGAATCTTTCTAATTTTAGCCAATCGTGCTCCTTTTCTCCTTATCAAAGTTATTCAACCTGAATAAACTTGCTGACTTCACTACATGCTCTACAAAGATTGCTTGCTTGAGCAACTGTAATGTTTATGGCTAGTGGGTTAATTAATAACCTTAAAACCACACCTTTAATGGAGTTGCCACACAATAACGCCAGGTTTGAAGTCACTGCATTGATACTATCAGATCAGAAGATCTCATTGAAAAGGCCGCCCATTCCCTAAAAATAACCCCTTTTATAGCATAGCACCAGGTTATATCAGAAAGAAAGGAGAATCCATTAAGGACATATTTAGCAAACGTTACGGCAACAGCCAGCTAACCAAAATTCAATGTCACAAATTTATGACATCACAAAAGAAGGTCTTACTCAGGAAGGTGAAAATAAACCAAAGTAAAGATGACAATTCTGTCTATTTTTGTAATAATACAGGAAATGGCCTTGGGAGATCAGTCAAATAGATACTGCCTAGGGACCCATCAGATAAGAGAAAGCATAGCCTAAAGCTGCAAAATGGGTGGAGAAAGAGATAGGAAGGCCCCTTCTCCTTTTTCTCAGGCTGCTAAAGGGACGGTGGAAGGTTTGTTCTTTCAGGCTTGCAAGTTTCTCTTCATGGATTTCTACAATAAAATAGAATCTGTGTTTTCTTTCTGGTTTACCTGTGGGGGGGAGGGGGCTGACATCCATTTTGCAAGTCTGAAAAAAACAGATAGTCCTCAATTTACAACAATTCATTCAGTGACCGTTCAGTTACAACGGTACTGAAAAAAGTGACTTATGACCGTTTTTCATACTTACGACTGCTGCAGCATCCCCATGGTCACGTGATCAAAATCCAGCTGCTCGGCAACTGATTCATATTTATGACGGTCGCAGTGTCCTGGGGGAGTCACGTGATCACCTTTTGGGACCTTTTGATAAGCAAAGACCTTTTGAGAAGCCAGATTCCTTTAACCATGTCATTAACTTAACACTCCACCTCACAAGGAATTATGGGACATTAATAGTAGGTGATGATGATAACAACAACAACAATAATAATATAAAAATAGATAGGCATAGGCTAACAATGGAAATAAAAGAAAGGAGAAACAATACTATTTGATTTGGGGCTCATGGTATGATTGGTTGGAAAATAGAAGTAAAGATCAAGACTGTTAAATTAAGAGGTGACGAAAATGCTATATCTATATAGTGATGTAATTATAATAATAGCATACTGTATAAAATAGATAAGTACATAAAAGAAAAGGGAAAATATTGTAAATAACTTGTACGTATGTACATATAAGATATACCAATTCCAGAGTGTTGTGAAGATTGAAATTGTGATACAGAATGAAGAAAATTGTTCTCTCCCCCCACTCTCTCTCTATATGTCTGTCTGTCTGTCTGTCTGTCTGTCTATCTATCTATCTATCTATCTATAAACACACACACACACACATTGTATGTATGTATGTATGTGTATATATATGTATGTATGGGTGTATATATGTATGTATGTATGTGTATATGTATGTATGTGTGTGTGTTTGTATGTGTGTATGTATGTATGTATGTATGTATGTATGTATGTATGTATGTATGTATGTATAGTGTTATGTCAAAGCACCTGGTATGCCCAAATATGGGAGGGAGCATACTGCTTCCCGTTTACCTTTCAGCTCCACCCTAGCAGCCTTCCAGGCAGAAAACCATTTTTGGGTTGCATTTTTTGCTGATAAATAAATGAAGGGAGACTAGTATAGTAGCTTAGAGGTTAATATAACTGTCTAATATGTAAAAACAGCCCAGGTTCAAATCCCAGTAAGGGTATGGCTAGCTGATGAGAGCTAAATAGCTTGAAATAGATCTATACTAGTCTCCCTTCATTTATTAGCAAAAAATGCAACACGTACATGTCTGTCTGTTTATCTATCTACCATTTATCTATCTATCATTTATCTATCTATCATCTATTATCTGTCTGTCTATCTCTATCTATCTACGTATCTATCTACATATCTATCTACGTATCTATCTATCTATCTATCTATCTATCTATCTATCTATCTAT